CAAAGCAAGATATAACTTACAGGCTAATATGTACTACATTTTGTATTTATTTATTTTGTTTTTTTGAGATAGAGTCTTACTCTGTTACCCAGGGTGAAGTGCAGTGGACTGATGCCAGTTCACTGCAGTCTCGACCTCCTTGGGCTCAGGGGATCCTCCCACCTCAGCCTCCTGAGTAGCTGGGACTACAGGCATGTGCCACCATGCCTGGCTAATTTCTGTATTTTTTGTAGAGACAGGATTTCGCCATGTTGCTCAGACTGGTCTCAAACCCCTGGGGTCAAGTGATCTGCCAGTCTCAGCCTCCCAAAGTGTTAGGATTACAGGCATAAGCCACTGTGCCTGGTCTGTACTACCATTTAAATGAAGACTTTACTGTACGATTGTTCTTTCGTGTGTGGGTGATTTTTTTTTCTGTACACCAAAAATATTCATAGGTGCCTTTCAGAATGTCAGTATCCCTAGTGCTAATTTTAAGTAATTCATTTCTTTGCTACAAAACACACAATATGCACAAAGAAAACATGAACAATTCCACGAGTCTCAGAGGTTCACCTAAGAAATTCTGCAATAGCTCCTTAAAGAATTGTTAAGCTGGAGCTTAACAAATACTTTTATTTTTAAATATGAGTAATTTAAAATAACTATTTGATAGTAAAGCAACAAAACACTTTACCTTGTGCTATTTTCCAGAACTGTTCTAGTGAGAAACCCTATCCACATGGCATCTTTCTTTCCCAAAATCCATTCTAGAATACCTGGAAGAGATGGAACACACTGTCAGGAACTCGAAGAGGTTAGACTATATAACCAGTCAGGAACCGGAAGAGGCTGGACAGTGTAACCAGTCAGCAACCGGAAGTGGCTGTACTATGTAACCAGTCAGGAACCAGAAGAGGCTGGACTGTGTAACCGTCAGGAAACGGAAGAGGCTGGACTATGTCACTATCAGGAACCGGAAGAGGATGAACTATGTAACCAGTCAGGAACCGGAAGAGGCTGGACTATGTAACCAGTCAGGAACCGGAAGTGACTGGACTTTGTAACCAGTCAAGAACCGGAAGAGGGTGGACAATGTAACCAGTCGGGAACCAGAAGAGGTTAGAGTTGGTAACCAGTTAGGAACCGGAAGAGGTTGGACTATGTAACCAGAGGGCACAGTCCAGTCATCTTCATAAAAAAAGCTCTGAGATTCCCATTTCACTTGAGAATGCTCTACTTACCCAGATAACCACCATTTACACTGAAACGTTCATTCAGTGTAAGACTGAACAGTCCCTGAGAAAAAGACAAAGCAACGAAGTCAGAAACATCAACCATGAGCTGTAAGGCCCTGTCGCCACTGTACTTCAGAGTGGGATATAAAGGCCTAGCTTGGGTAATGGGGAAGGCAAAAATAAATCAAAACCATGCAAGGCATTTTAAAAAGTTCAAAGCATTTCCGATTCTAGTATGTGACATAAGTAGGTGGGGTATCACTGGCTACGTTTTTTGGACAGTAAACTGAAGGGCAAAGAATGAACGCCTGACTTGCCTAAGTGAGTGGCAGACCCAGGACCAGATCCCAGATTGTGACTCCCAGCCCTTGACACCCGGCCACATGCTCTTTATCCTAGAACAGGCTCAGAAACCTCCATTTCCTTTCTACTCGTCTCTACCATGGGATCTCATACCTATGAAGTGACAAGAAGTACAAGGGGATGAAATGGGGCTTCATATTCCCTTTAGGTCCTCATATTCTTAGATTTCACCTTTTACATAACAGTAATAGGACAAAAAGCTACCTGTGTAATTATTTAACAACAGAGTCCTTACTGGTTTGAATCCTGTTAACATGCCCACATAGCCAGCAAAGCTTGAAGCCTTGAAGACAGTTTTGTTGTTTCTTTGGAAGTCCAAATTCACCGTTAAAGGTTTTAGTTCCTCAGTTATGACCCAGGTATCATTATTTATGTTCCACCTACAAAAGACAAGTTTCAGTGACATTTAAGAAACACAGTGATAATAATGATGAACATGATGATGAGGGCCAGGCATTACACTGGGAGCTTTATCTACCGAGTCACCATGATCAATCCTAACAAGACCTTTACAATATGATACCTTTATTCTGTTTTCCAAACGATAAAACTGAGGTTCACAGAAGTCGGGTAACTCTCCCAATATCACACAGCTTATAAATAGTGAGCCTCAGATTCAAACACAGAATGCTAATTACAACATTCTTATTTTTTCAGAAAGGTCAAGATGGACACATACAATAGAAGAGTGTGCCCCTCTTGTCTCAACACTCAGTAATCCATTTATCTTCACTTATGATCACATTTTGGGTGTGACTTGAGATTTATTTTTCATCAATGTAATACAACCTACTCTTGTTACAGAATTAAACAGTTCCTGTGGTTTTTTTTTTTGAGATGGAGTCTCGCTCTGTCGCCTAGGCTGGAGTGCAGTGGCCCGATCTCCACTCACTGCAAGCTCCGCCTCCCGGGTTCACGCCATTCTCCTGCCTCAGCCTCCCGAGTAGCTGGGACTACAGGTGCCCACCACCGCGCCCGGCTAATTTTTGTATTTTTAGTAGAGACAGGGTTTCACCGTGTTAGCCAGGGTGGTCTCGATCTCCCGACCTCATGATCCGCCCACCTCGGCCTCCCAAAGTGCTGGGATTACAGGCGTGAGCCACGCGCCCAGCTTTTTTTTTTTTTTTTAGATGGAGTCTGGCTCTATAACCCAAGCTGGAACTCAGTGGCAGGATCTTGGCTCACTGCAACCTCTGCCTCGTAGGTTCAAGCAATTCTCTGCCTCAGCCTCCCAAGTAGCTGGGATTACAGGTGCCGGCCACCACACTTGGCTAATTTTTGTATTTTTAGTAGAGATGGGATTTCACCATCTTGGCCAGGCTGGTCTTAAACTCCTGATCTCGTGATCCACTGGCCTTAGTCTCCCAAAGTGCTGGGATTACAGGTGTGAGCCACCATGCCTGACCCTGTGTTCTTTACTTACCCAAGAAATACTCCAAAATCCATGTTTCTCCCATGTATTAGATGACCTATTTAAAGGTAGACAAAAGAGACGTGTAATAGCAGTTAAGATTCTAAATCAAAGCTGGACAATTAACTTTGATTAATTAATTTATTTTTGAGACAGAGTCTCGTTCTGTTGCCCAGACTGGAGTGCAGTGGTGCGATCTCAGCTCACTGCAACCTTTGCCTCCCAGGTTCAAGCAATTCTGGTGCCTCAGCCTTCCACATAGTTGGGATTACAGACACATGCCACCATACCCGGCTAGTTTTTTTTTGTATTTTTTCTTTTTTTTAGTAGAAATGGGGTTTCACCATGTTGGCCACGCTGGTCTCAAACTCCTGACCTCAGATGATCCACCCGCCTCAGCCTCCCAAAGTGCTAGGATCACAGGTGTAAGCCACCACGTCTAGCCTCTAATTTTGATTAATTTATATCTACAACTGTTTCTTCAAACAATAAGAAGTAAGAAACATCCTAATATCCTAAGCCTTCACTAGATGGGATTGTTGTCACTATCAATCTGCCAGACAACCCCACAAAATCTGAGAGCACAGGTTTCAGGTAAGATCAGAATATGGGAAAAGGAATCAATGGTCATATTTTGTTTCACTATCACATGGTTCTACCAGGACACAGAAATCTGAGCCTCAATTACTGGGATTCATCCAATGTTCCCCTTCAGGCATCATCCCCTAGAGCAGGACACCTCAAGGGTAAGGTACAGGCAGATTTATACCCAGAGTGTAGGTCGAAGATCACGGTGAGTTAGCGAAGTTGTCCTGTGCTTTGTACTCTGGGGACCAGTTAGGAAAAATACGAGAAAGTGAGGCTGGTACACACTGGGTCACCTGGCTGGGAAAGGATGAAAGAATGTGTGTTCTGGGCCTCAAGAAAAGGACAGATGTCATGACATACATGAAGATAAGTAAGTACCTCCTGCGAGCACTTCTATTAAACCATGTGGACGGGTATAAGTAGACTATGAGGAAAAGAAGAATGTTTCTAGCCCTGAAACATTTCTTCCAGGTTTTTGGCATGTTTCAATTCAACTTTAATAGGCAGTATAGTAGTCTTAAAATAAGGAGAATTTTCAGTACACTCATAAAAATTTACCAAGAAATAGGCCGGGCGCGGTGGCTCACGCCTGTAATCCCAGCACTTTGGGAGGCCGAGGCAGGAGGATCACGAGGTCAGGAGATCGAGACCATCCTGGCTAACATGGTGAAACCCCGTCTCTACTGAAAAATACAAAAAACTAGCCAGGTGAGGTGGTGGGCGCCTGTAGTCTCAGCTACTTGGGAGGCTGAGGCAGGAGAATGGCGTGAACCCGGGAGGCAGAGCTTGCAGTGAGCTGAGATCTGGCCACTGCACTCCAGCCTGGGCGACAGAGTGAGACTCCATCTCAAAAAAAAAAAAAAAAAAAAATTTACCAAGAAATAAAAAGCTTTATGCAACACACACAGAATTTATGTAGCAAGCCCAAAGTTTAGAAGTTCTAATTCCATTTATTTAGAAGATTCTTCTTTATGTAGTGCTTCATACTGCCCACCCTCCCTGAGTGCACAATTACCTTTTTTGTCTTCTGCTACTATCGAAGTACAAAGGGTAAAAAACTCGTAAAAAATATTGTATGAAATAATCTCTCCTATGAGAAAAGAAAGGAAAATTTTGTGTTAATATACAGAACCATGACGATGGGAGAAAAATTTGTTTTAAGAAAAAGTTTAAGTATTTGCATTGTGTGAGTGTGTGTTTTGGCCAGTGGGTCTGTGCCGGAACGGCCGGCTGGACGGTGGTTTTCTTCCCTAGCTGGGACTCTCTAGACTCAAGATGAAACAAGTCACCAAGGAGGCAGCCTTTGGACCAGCTGAACATCTGCGCAAGTTGCACCTGTTCTCCAGCATCATGTCAAAAATGTTTATCAACATGCTTCATTTTGATTTTTCTTTTGGGAGCATAAATATGATCATTTAATACAACTGGCTGTTGGTGTTTGCTTGAAATGTATTTTGCCCAGATTTTTAAACTGTGACTAAAATTTCTAAGGTGAAAAAGGAGATTCAAGAACTATTAATCGATTACTATTAATAAAATTAGTACAGAGCTGCCAAGACACTCCATTCTAAGGCATTTTATTTTTTGAATACTTTCCCAAAATGTATAATACTGCTATTTAGCATTTAATTCAAAGATAGGTAATACATTTCATTTCCGTCCTATTTAACATTAACACGTTAAGCTCAACATGTTTTTTTCACCCGAATCCAATGCTTATTTTATTTCCATTAAATTTCTAATTTGGTGAAATTCTACTTATTTTATTATAAATTTATAATAATTTATAATTATATAAATTTACATCACTTATACATCATGTTATTCTTCTTAATCCATAAGGTATTTATATTTGGTATTGATTTGCTAGAGTTCTTTACATAATAAAGGAATTAGACGTGTTTTTCATAAAGGCAGTTAGCAGCTATTTCCAGTATGTTGACTATCTTTTAAATCATTTTTTTAAAGAAGCAGCACACAAAACTGGCCACTGATTTTCACAAATTCTCAATCATCTCTCTTATAAAATGAAGGTACTATTGGCTATTTAAAATAACGACACTACTGCTTTGGTAGCTTAAAGATAAAACTTTTGGGGTCGTAGGGAAAATCTTTTTCGTTACATGCCATGAAGCTTAAATTGAAATTTTAATAATAGCTTCCCAAACCGTGCATATCTAAGAATAATTTTAATGAATGACATGCAAGGCCTTCTCCCTGAAAACAAAAGATACTGCTCAGAGAAATCAATAACCTAAATAAATGTTGAGAAAAACAAAGTTGGAAGAATTATACTACCTAATTTTAAGACTCACTATAAAGCTTTAGTAACTGAGGTAGAATAGCATTGATACAAGGAAAGACAAATAGGTAAATGAAACTTAACAGTAATTCTCCAAACAAAACAACATATAATCACCTGTTTGTATATACATATACACGTGTGTGTGTGTGTGTATATATATGTATTGTACACTTATATCAAAGACACCACTGCAACTTGCTGAGGAAAAGATAGCCTTCCGAATTAATAGTGTTTAACTGGATATACCATATGAGAAAATCCTGAACCTTGACCCTTAAGTCATATAGCATATACAAAAATAATTCAAAATAGATCATAGGCCTAAATGTCAAAAGTAAACATTAAACATCTAGAAGAAAATACATAAGCATATATACGACTTTGGCCTAGGCCAAGATTTCTTAAATGGATACAAAAGGCACTGCTCATAAAAGAGAAGACTGAGGTTTTAGACTTCACTAAAATTAAAAATGTCTGTTAATCAAAAGACACCAGTAAGAGAATAAAAATGAAAGTCACAGACTGGGAGCAGATATTCAGAATCCACACATCTGACAAAGGGCTTATATTCAAAGTATGTAAAGAATTCCTTCAATCTAATTTTTAAAAGGGCAAAAGACCTTAACAAACCCTTCTCCAAAAGAAACAAAGAAACCAAAAAAAAAAAAAAAAAAAAAGTCAAGAAAGTGTTCAATCTCATTAGTCATCAAGGAAATGCAAATTAAAACTAAAATGGGATACTGTGACACTCAACAAAAAGGCTCAAGTAAAGACTGACACTATCAAAGAAAAAAAGGAAAAAGACAAGACTGACACTCTTAAGAGGAGAATTATCAAGTGGAGAAAACTGAATCACACTCTGCTGATTGTCAACTGCTGGAATCACTGTGGAAAATTGTTTGGCAGAATCTACAAGGCTAAACATACAATTACTCTATAACCCAACGGTTCACTTCCTAGGTATATATCCAGAAAAATGAGCACATAGACCCCCAAAAATGTACTAGAATATTTATAATTCATCTATTCTTAATATTGCAAATCTGAAAACAACTCAAATACTCTGTTCATGGAGTAGCACACTACCCATAACGAAAGCACAAGAATCACACACAACAGTTCACATCATTCAGTTCTACTTATATAAAGTTCACGAAGAGGCAAAACTAATCTACGGTGGCGTCAGAATAGTGGTTATGGAGGAGGCAGTATTTTCTGCAGAGGGGCATGATGGAGCACTGTGGAGTGCTGGGCTCTTCCGTATCTTGATCTGAGTCATGGCTATGTGCATGCATGCATTTCTGAAGCTTCACAGAGCTGTATACGTGAGACCTGTGTACTTTGCTGTATGTATATCACACCTCAATGGAAATTTGTAAAAGAGTTTAATTACTTTTTTTTTTAAAGCTTCTAAGTGAACTTTACCTAAAGGTATATCAGTAACAGCGGCGATACCCTTCATTTCCTCTTCAAAAGGGCCAGGAAAGTTGCCAAGTAGGCCAGGCTGGAAAACAAATATATTAATAAAAGCATTTAACCTAAAAAACATACTTTGAAATCTAGTTCTTTGACATATAATTTGTTTTAGATACTGCTATCACAATAAGTGATAGGAGTTATTTTTTAAAGCATTTTTACATCATGTAGTTATAAAAAGATTCTATATAATATACTATAGACCAGATTCTCACATTGTTTTTCCTGTCTTATTTTTCCATCGTTCTCCAGCGAAGGCAGGAACGAGAGTAATTCCACCTGGATGACCTAACCTGACCCACACCACAAAAACATCAAAACAAGCACTCCTTGTGTCTCTGCATGAATTCACCCTGTAGCCATTGGCACATACCCTTCTTACCATTTCCTTCCCACACGCACGGAGATAAAGCTGAACTAGTCTATCCACAGCCTTGTGTCATGGTTAATGGCTGATCTTTGACTAACATGAAGTAACTGCATTCTCTTAGCAAACCATAGACTTCACGCAAATTCAGTGGTGGACATCATATACTTATTCTCAATGGCAACTACTAACATCTAGATCGCAACTTAAGTTCACAGCCTTTTGCTGAGATAATGTGTTTAAAATTCACAAATCTCATTTTTTTAACCAACTTGGTAATTATATGCAATGTCACCTAAGCATATTTTTTTTTTTTTCCCCTAGGAACTCAAAGCATTGCCCAAGTGGAATGTTCCAGCCATTTAACAAACAAATGTGACTTAATGGGTATTTATTAAACACTTATTACATCCAAGCACTATGCTTTATACACAGTATGTCATTTAATCCTTACAACCACCATATGAAATACATATTAGTAAGTATTATTTTCCCTGATGAGAAAACTGAGGTTTCATAGGTTAAGGAACTTTCCCTAGGACACACAGCTACAATGTGACTGATCCAGCCTTAAAACCCAGTATTGTCCGATTCCAAGGCGTGGCACAAAAACACTCTGCAATGCTGCCCTCCCTGATAACATTCAGAGTAGAGGGGAGATTAAGGCATATGGGGTACGTGGGGACTTCATCCTCTTTCGCTCCTGCCAGCGTTTTTAGTTTTGAGGAAGTCTGGTAAGTATGAACGTAAAGGATAGCCTGAAACAAAAGCTCTGAGAGCATGAACATGAGGGATAATGAATCTGGTGCTTGGCAGGTACTAGTGTCATGGGGAGGATGTGCCCAGAGCACTCGGCCACTAGGGCAATGATTCTCAACCATGGGAGATTCGGAAATATCTAAGGACATTTTTGGTTGTCACAACTGAGGGGGTGTTACCAGCATCCCTGGGTAAGGGCCATCCTGCAATGCACAGGACAGCCCCATGACAAAGAGATACCCACCCCAGGTTGGGAATCCTGAAATGTAGAGGACAGCCCTGCAACAAAGAGATAGATACCCACTCCAGACTGGGCATCCTGAAATGTAGAGGACAGCCCTGCCACAAAAAGATACCCACTTCAGGCCGGGCATCCTGAAATGTGTAGGACAGCCCCATGACAAAGAAATATCCAACCCAGGCCGGGCATGGCACTTCACACTTATGATCCCAACACTTTGGGAGAACACTTTGGGAGGTTGAGGCGGGAGGATCGCTTGAGCCCAGGAGTTGGGAGACCAGCCTGGGTGACATAGCAAGCCTCCGTCTCTACTAAAAATTCAGAAAATTAGCTGGGTGTTGTGGCACGTGACTGTGGTCCCAGCTACTCAGGAGGTTGAGGCAGGAGTATCCCTTGAGTCTGGGAGATCAAGGCAGCTATGAGCTATGATCACGCCACTGCACTCCAGCTTGGGCTACAGAGATAAGTGAGGTGTCAAAAAAAAAAAAAAAAAAAAAGCTGCCCAACCCCAAATGTCATTAGTGCCCAAAATCTGCCATCAAGTGCAATGAGGATCCCTTTAACAGTTCTAGGGGCCAGGCCCTAGGTGTTTCATTGGTTCTGCGTAAACAAAAACGGGGCTGAGAAATGGAGTGAGAAATGGGAGTCTTCCTGCATGACCAGGATGAAAATGAAATGGTTTGGTGATTGCGCAGAAACACTCAACCCAAATGAGTTTTGGGGTCAGAGCTACTGAGGAACTCTACAGAATAGGGAGCCAGGCTGAGTACATCATTTGGTCATAATTTGGTCATATCTAGGAAAAAAAATCTCTGAATGTCCCTGAGATACCTAAGAAAAAAAACCAAGTCTTCAATAGTGAACTCACTCATAAAGGGAAGGAAACACCATATTCCCAGACGAAGTATGTTTATCTGCCCGGTGTGGTAATGTAGTCCCATCCTTTTACGAAACCATACTTTGCTATGCTGTTACCCTAATATGACCAATCCCCCAAATTTAAGTCCCTCTGAAGTTCTCACAGTGAGCTAGATTCACGCATATCTGTCCCAGTCCCTGCGAAGAGGCTGTTGAATTATGCCCTTAAATAAATGCCAGAGCATTTTCTGATTTTTGTGTGTAATGTGTATGTGCTTAACATTTATTGTGAGAAATAATATTCCTTACCAATTTTTCATCCACTATCTGCATAACTTTTCCACTTGGGACGAATGTATTTATCATATTCTTCAGAGAATTCACTATAACTTTTAGCTGAAAAATAAATAAAATGCTTACTAAAAGATATAATGAAATGCTGTCAAGATTACCTTTTGGCTTACCCATATGTAGCTAAAAGAGAGTGCTATTTGACAATTTATATATATATATAAAAT